TCCTTGAAGCACAGTCAAGCACTGCCCTATTTGAGGACTCCTGCACTGTGGAAGGGGGCTTCCATTTTGACAGCAACAAAGAGCAAATGTGGGGAAAGTTGTGACCAACTCTCCAGACACTTTCATCTAAAGGAGTTTTCAGCTGCTTAGATATTGATCGATCTTGTAGGTCCTGGGATAGGGCATGCATGTTAAATTGGTGTCCAATATCATCTTCCCAACTGAAGGCACTCGCTGAGGCTTCTGCGATTCTACAGATGAAAAAGGATTATGGCTATAAAAAAAAAAATGTGACAAGTGTAATGCCTGTGCACTGTTATTGTCCTCCAGTGCCATGGAAACTGTCTCAATTTAATCACCGCTTCATCTCTCATACCTTGTTGAGGTACAAGGTGCTCTGGATCATTGCATTTTGAAGTAAGTGGTTGTAAAAAGGAATCTAATCAATGCTCCTCAGAATCCCTGAAGTATATATCCCCCTACCCCAATTCCTTGTTTTTTTAAAAAAAAAAATGGGTGGGGGAGGATGTTCCATCCCTTGAAAAAATCATGGGGGAAAGATCCTAATTCTATTCCAGCTAACATTTTGTATCATAGAGGAGGGCTGTACAAGCACAAGAAAGACAGCTGACAAAAAATCAATATGCATTACAAAACTCAACTAGAGGCACTTCCAGATGGAAATTCCAAACTGGCAAAGGACTATAATAAGCCGCCTACCCATCTGATGATACTGTGGCTGAACAGTATAACAATGACAACTTGGTTACGCTTCTGCAGCTGGATGGGTGTTGTGTACTTTCACTGGTGGAGAGCCTGTTTTCCTGCTCTTGCAAAGGAGTCAAAATGCAATGCTCCTGGCATGTCAACAGCAGCACTTATATAAGGAAAGGTGGGATGGAACATGATGACGTGGAGGGAATGCCACAAAAGTGTTTTCTTTAGAGAGAAGGAAGGAGGATATGTTTAAGCATGAACCTGGGGTGGAGGCAGAGGCAGGCTGGGGGCCCTGAGTGCATGCAGGGACCCATTTCTTGGTTATATTAGTGGTTATGGTGTACAATTTATCCTCAGCTGCTATGTACTATATTTTAATGTTTGTATTGTATTATTGTCATTGTTTTTTTCTATTTTTAATTTTATTTGCCACCCAGAGTCACTTGTTGAGATGGGCAGCCATACAAATTGAATGAACGAATGAATGAATAAACAAACAAACAAACAAACAAATTTCCCCTTATGTAAACCTGCCCATCTTCTTAATGCTTGTACCAGCTTAGAGCAGGAGCTACACATTGGAACTGGCAGGGTTGGGAGTCAACATGTACCAATACAGTTATGCATTTTTACTATAACTAAAAATCCTAAAGTGGTTCATTTAGCACATGCCTATGAAGCAGATCAGTATTTTCTCCCCTGACTGGCAGCAGCTTTCATGTATCAGCTCTTTCTGCTCTCCTACAAATGCCAGGAATTGAACACAAAACAAATGCTTTATTACTGAGCCATAGCCCTGCCTTCATGTGAAAGGGATTTGGGACTGAAGCTGGCCTCCCTCTGAAGGAAGGCTGGGTCCCTTCACCCACTGGCAACATCTCCACCATTTGGAGATGGACAGGAGTGCCATGCTCCTGAACAAAAGTGAAGACCGCTGGGGTCTGCATCCTCAAAAGTATGAGAGCCAGGACAAAGAAATAGATCAGTCCAGGACAAGAGCTCACTTTGATTTCCTTTCACCCAAATGTATGTTTCATTAAAATTGTATTAGATTAATTAAGTAGTATAAGCATAATTACTCTTTATTTTTTCTGTCACACAACTACAACAAATTTGGAAAATGTTCTGGTGCATTGTACCCAAAACATTGGGGAGGGGGCAGATAAGCCTCAGGTTCTGTACCCCTGAATTAAAACAATGGGTAATATGGGCTCTCCTTACAATAGTTACACATACACAGTTGTGAGGAAAGTCTCACAACTTTTTCTTGTCTTTGTGATTGAAAGAAAGGATTTGTATTCCTCCAAAGCAGACCATTTCATACCAACTATGCATTTTCTAGCAATGTCAGAATGCTTTGAACTCCACTTTCTGCTTTCACAGCAGTCTGATCAGTATTCTGAGATCATGGCCAGGCATAAGTGAGGGTCTTGGAACATACAGAGTGATACCTGACTTGTTTAAAGGCTGCCAGTGTGGATGTGTTCCCCCCACAGCTAATCATCATTTCAGTCCTTTACAGACTTTATTGCTTTCACCTCACAACAATTTGGTGACTCATTCATGTGGCTCCCACTGTGTGGCCTTTCCCCAAGAGTGGCTTTTTATCTTTCCACAGGACCATGGTGGTTTTCACCTTGCTTCCCAAAGGTCCTTTACAAACAGCTTTTGTGCCAACCTGTCATACTAGTTTTCAACTCAAGCACATTTGAAAAGAATTCTGGAGGTAATTTCCCACAAGGCAGCTTCTGGGAAAAGGGCTTTACTGAATGCTCCAGTTTTGTGCATACCATCCTCTGAATCTTGAACTCAAGACAGAATAGGGGCATAACAAAAGTCCAAGGGCTTATTCACATCGGTATCCTATTTCCTAAGAGTGACCAAAGAGATAGTCATAGGGAAGCCCACAACCAGGCCCTGTTTTACCCCAGGAATACATTCCATATTATCATACTAGCCATGCCACTCTATTACATAAATAACTAAATGCAATATTAACCCATCATATGCACATGCAAAGTCACATACGTGCATGGGTATTAATGTACATGGGAAGAAAGAGGTGCGATGCATACGCAATAGACTTAATCCACCTTCTAAAATGAGAAAAAAAGAAAATAGCTCAAACAACCATTCAAGTCCCAAAATTCAGATTCATTTTTGTACATGCAGAGGCATAAAAGCAGTGTACCTTCAACCCAGATAGAAGGAACAGAATGCCATTTCTACTAGTCTTAATAGAAGATAGAAAATGTTAAAAACTAGAAGCATTTTAAGAAGTGAAAGGGATTGCTCTGCCAGGAATAGGAATATTTGGGGCCAATGGACACATCTGGAACTTTGAGAGCATGTCATGGATCCGAGTTTCTCAACCACGGCAACTTCTGGGAGTTGAAGTGTGGACTTCAACTCCCAGAATTCCATGCTGGCTGGCTCCATGCTGGATCACATTCCATGCTGGATCACAAAATGGCTATCATGGAGTACAGTTTGCCAATTCATACAACAGCTGCCACAATAGGCAAGGAGTTCTAAAATACCCATCAACCTACTAGGCTATTTTCTCCAATTTCCTCTGGTCTCCCAGGATTTTTCTACTAGCCCAGATTACCTTTGCCTGCTTTCTAGACAGTAGGACATTCTTTCAGAGAGAAAGAAGATAGGCTGCAACTACCATTTTTATTTTATAGGAAAGTCAGTGGGTTCAGTATGGGGCCCAGATGCATTCTTATAAATAAAAACGATACAGTATTAGAGGAGGTCACTTTTAATTGAGACATGGTGGCAGTTTCTTATTTGTTTCATGAAATGAATCTTTAATAGAAATTAAAGTCAAGCATGATATGCAGCCAGGCATGTACCAAGGGAAGTGTTCACAGGCACATAATTATCCTTGGACACCACATTTATTTATTATTTGTCAATTTTATATACCGCCATCATTGCACAGTAGACTCCTGGCAGTTAACATCATGAGAGATAAACACATAATGAAACACGATAATTAACAATTAGCATAAAACCTAATCAACCTCCACTCACCTTGGTGCTATGGAAATATGGAACGGCCAATCAGGAATCTGTTCCCAGAGTTCTAATGCCAAATGCAATCATTTAGACCACTTTTTAACCTATTTTTGTGCTAAACTGGTGTAGATGCAGTTGTCTTTAATAACTATCAAGTTTTTCTATGATTGACTCAAGGCTGTGTCATACTACAACTTCATTTATGCATATTATCCACCAGCATAAACATTCTCATGAGTGCCTAACCATCTTAGGGCTTCTTGCTCTTCCAAATGCATAAGGGAAATCTTTATTGGGGAGCTAGTGAGGTTTTCCCCCTGAGTATTCAAGGCAAGTGGAATTTCAAGGCAAATCAATCACCAAGATGGTTTCCAAAAATGAAATGGGAAGCTCTTGCCCTGGAACCACGGGCTAGGCACCAAGTGTTGCAAAGAAAACATGGGAAAGAATCATGAAGAACAGTTGTGGAGACTCTATGAAGTCTGGCTAGTTGGGTTTTACTTAGAGCTGAGCAAAAACCTGCAAAAACCTGCATATGTCCAGATAAACAGAAAATACAGCCAATACCCAGGCTTAAGAACAGTTCTAGACATTAAAATAAAGCTGCACATTCTGAGGCTTCAGGGCTACATCTAGTCTATGAAAGTTTTGGATGTGGCTTACAAAGGTGTCCAAAAGTTGTTACAAATCATTATTTTTATGTGATGAAAGAGAAAAATGATCAATAGATGACCGAAGTTTAGTGATATTAACTATTAAATGTAAGTCTGTAGAATCTATAGGCCACCCATATCTGTCCTATAACTCTGGACAATTTGTAAAATACTACAATAAAAAACAAAGAATTGAAATAAAGAATTCCATTGTCAAAAAAGAAAATCCATCCCCCATCCCCCAACAACCATTCAAAAGGCTAAAACATCACAAAGGGATTTACCACTTTTCTGATCCATGGTCTGGGGGTACAGCCAGGTTTTTAGGGCTTGTTTAAACAGGACAATTAAATCAAATTGCAATTTTGTCCAGTGTCCATCCATTAATTTTTAGAGTATAACCTCAAAATGTCATTCAATGGACAACTATGTAGTTCATCATAGGGGAGGCTGTGCATTGTTGGTAACACAACCTTGAAGCTGTGTGGAGGAAGGACAAGTGCACCAATAATCTGATTCAGGTGAATGCAAATAAAGTCTGGGAGGATCTTGGCTGGTTGACTCAGTTAAAGCTGATTGGAATGAATGTTATGGAACCAACAGCAAATTCTTATTGGTATAGAAAACATAAGGCATTTTGAGAAGTGGCAAGGTGGCATTCCATCAGCTAGTATGTCTGGATAAGAACACTTCTGGAGAATATATGTAGCTCAGGGCTGAATTATTAGGATCATCAGTGCATGGAAGAGTAAAGTTTGATGGCTTCAGTCCCCCACATGCTGATGACATTAGTCTTGTAATGAAACGTCTGTGAGAAGAAAAGCAAGCTCAGGGAATACCAAGAAACCAAGGAAGACTTCTGGAATGGTCTATTGTTCTTGGTAAGTCTCCATATTGGCCAATTTGCAGATACCCATGTGAAGTAATTAGTTGGGTGGTGGCCTGGTTGTCAGATAGGTATTTCGACAGTCTGCTTTCTATGGGAGGAGTTTGTTACAATATAATCCAGCTTTCTCCAAACTGACCCCATCCAGATGTGCTGGGATGAAAATTCCAGGAATTTTCAGCCAACATGGCTGCTGTCTGTATTGCTAAGAATTATGAAAATTGTCATCCCAACATATCTGGTCATCCCCAAGTTGGAAAGACAGTTCTACATGATGGAGGCTGCATGTGAATCTCTCTTTAATTTAGTCAGAGGATTACTTTGGAAAATTCAGCAATCCTTCAGGGCATTATTTCTAACAATTTCTCAAGCCTCTGATTCTACTGCTTATTTATTTCTGCATTTAAATGTTTTTGAGGACAATGAATTCTTTACCCACATGGTCAGGATAATGTCAACAGAGTATAAAAGGCACAACTACATGTAACAGCCAGCCAGCAGAACCCAGCACTCGTGTAATAGCCAGTACATGAAGATGCACAGATTTCACTTTAGTGCAAATATTTCTTTCATATTTGTTATTCCAATCCTGGCTCAAATGAAATCCTATTATGTCACATATGATGATGGTGGATTAAGCTACAGTCTGCCTCTTCCTCTCTGAGGTGGTGCTGGAATTCCTTGCTCAGCACCACTGGTGGCTGCCTGATTCTTCTGAGGCTTGACCTTTCTCCTTGGGAAGCTCAAGCACACCTCTCAAGGGCAGAAAGTGTGCAGACAGACGCTGGGGGAAGGTCTGCTGTTATTTGCAGAAGGATTAGGAAATTCAAGCTCAAAGATTGCATAAGGAGTTGAAAACTGATATTTTTAAGACTAATGGAGAAGGGGAAGCAGGCTTTTAAATGCAGATGAAGCACTTTGTTTGCAAACATGGAAGTTTATGATCTGATATTTCGCTTCCCCAAAGTTGCATAAGTAGAGAGGACACTGCTTTTTAGAGGAGATCTTTCAACTGATGTAAAGCACTGGAACTGTGGGAGCCAGCAAAAAACTTTCTTCAAGTTTCACTTTTGGTGGAACGATTAACATGTTTAGGTGACTCAATGCCTAGACTTAGCTTGTGCTAAGACATAATGTGGTCTGTTTGATCTTGATTTACTGTGAATGCAGTTATTACAGCTTGCCATTATGTGTGAAAAAGGGTGTTAAAGCTTGCTAAAAAATGAATAAGAAAACAAACTATGGTTTAGTGCATTGTGCAAATCTAGCCAGAGTATTGGCCAAAACATTTCCTAGGTTGTTCCCACAGTAGGCATCACGTTAGAATCACTGTGCCTCACGCACTCATCATTGTGTTACCATACATTTCAAATCTTCTCAAGCTTTTTCAAGGCTTCATCTCCCAGGGCAAATGCTTTTAATGTGATTCTTCTACCTCTCCGTAAACCACGTCTGTGGTTTGGGTGTAGACAATGACATATGAAGCTCTGACATTCACTGCTTAGCACATGGAATTCCATTTTCTAAAAAATGTTTTTTAAATTATCACTAAAATACATTTCTGGTTACATTTTCCCTTAAAGTGCAAATTTATGTAATTTACCTATGTATCTGTTTTTCCTTTTCATTTCTATTGTGTTAATATATAAAAAAAGAGGAAAGGGGAAAAAAACCCCAAAAGCAGACAAACACACACAAGGAGAACAAAAACATTTTACATGTTTTAAAATGTTTAAAGGCATAGGCTGCCCTTTCCCATTTTGTAGGCCTAGGCAGCTCCCAGAAATAAAAGAAAAAATATTAACAGTTAAAATCCCTAAAAACACTAATTTGTATAGCAAATAAGAGTCTTATGTTCCTGTTAACAGTATATTGCTAATTTTAAAAAGAAAAGGAGATAAATTTCCAGTGACAGGCATTTTAGTTATGTGCTTTCCTTCTAATGATGTTTTGAATTTATATTTCTGATTCAAAACGAATCTTAAGCATTTTGTTTTTGGCATTCATAGTTATTAATAGACAAACATACTTGAAGAAGTAATTGAATGCTTGTGTGTTTATGCGTGAGTGTGCATGCTCAGGATTATTCAGAATCCACCACCAACCCACCCCTCAATCGCTGGTTATGCGAATTCATCCTTTCCACCCCAGCAGGTATATCAGAACACTGTTCTCGATGGCAGAATAAATTTTTAGAAGAAGTACCATATCCATAATTGTGTGGCAACTCAGTGAAAATTGTATTTCTAATTTATAATAAGGGAATAAAGTTCTATTGACACCACAAATCATCGTTCAAGAAGAGGCCTTGGTGAACTGTTTGCACAGAAATGTAATTCCTGTTTTTGCTAAAATGAACATAGCATGTTTTCTGCAATGCAGCATAGCATGATATGCAAATGAAATACAGTACCAGATCTCTCAAGGCATTGTTCATCATTCTTCTCCCAGTATATCCACAGGGAACAGGATTGCGCCATGTAGCTCCACTACCCATGTACCTATCAAATAGTTCCTCCTCTTGCCATAGCCCAATATTCTTTGTATAGACGTGGGTGTCTGTGAATGTTAACCGTATGCAAAAAACACCCAATGCAAAGAAGTCTCTGCATGAATCCAAAGCAGTGACAATGAAGGGTTCCAGCTCAGAAGTTCTTGAGAATAATATGGAAGTGAATTGTTGTTGCCTCCTGCCAGGATGTTTGTTTGATGTCCCAGGCTAGCTATAGCCACGAGGCTTCCTGTGGCCTCCCATCTAAGTAAACCTGACCCAACTTAGTTTCTGTCAAGGTTCATGAAGATCAGTCAGGTCCTGCCATCTGCTATGACTCCTGCTCATGTGGAGGCCTACAGATAAACAGCAGTAGGAGAATGCCCCCTCTCTATGGACTTTTCCACTCTCCCTGCCTCTGAACATATGTAATTTTAGGTGGCGTTGCTCAGCACCTAAAGAATACTTAGCATATATGTACCTTGCAGGTATGGCTAAGTATTTTAACAAATAGGATTCTTGCGTACAGAGGACTGGAAGTCCAGTAATATCATGACAGGCCACTGAGGGCTAAGCAGCTATTCTACTCTAAAGAACACCCTGCGCCTACAATGTCTGTTTGATCTGCTTTCTTACTCCGTGCATGTCTTATTTCTTTGAACTTTTAGCTTCACATTCTCCAGAGGTCCTGAAGGAAGCCATTAGTTTTCACCTGATTGTTCAATCACAATAATGATTTGAAAATGACAGATTTTTTTTTTTTTAAAGTGCAGTGCAGGGGGGAAAAAGAGGAGGCATCTTGTGGCGCCTTGGCAACAAGCAAGCAGAGACTTTCACGGGCAAGACACTAAGTGCTTGAAAATGAGCTTTGCCTAGATTTAATAACAGTCTTTCCATAAGTGGACACTTCTGTTAAGGGTACACTTATATAAGGAATGTTCTCTTTTTAAGAGTACATTGTACCACAATGACAAACCCTGGGGCAGTCTTCTCCAATCTGATGTTCTCCAGATGTATTGTACTACTACATAACCCTCAGTTGGGGATTTAGGGGAGTTGTAATCCAACACATTTGAAGGGGCCAAGTTGGAACAGGGTGCACTAAAAAATTATGAAAGGTCAGTAGAAACAAATGCAAAAAAGGTAATTGAGTTTGGTCTATAGATCTTATCCAAGTTGTGCCCCAAGGCAATTTTCCTAAAGAAAAGACCATACTACTGGAATACAAAAATAACTAATAAAAACATTATCCTTGCAGATAATAGAGCACATGATACAAGAGAGTCATTCTAAAGTATGGTAGGATGCTTATATCCCACTGAAATCAACTACTTTTCATGACAGATCCTATTGCTGCAAGGGAATGAGGACAAAAGACAAGGGAACCAATCTTACAAAGCTTATTTTATTGCTGCTTCCCTAACATCTGAAGTGAAAGCCATTGGACACAATCCCACCTGGAGTGGAATTATATGCTCAAGGAAACAATTAGGTCTAAAAAAATCTTCGTGCTATTTCACTGGTTAACAAATGCTTTAACCAAGCATAATTTTAAGTGCTGTTGTACAGCTTTAACTCACATCAAGTGGCAGCACTTAGTTGATTTTGGCTAACCTCACAAGCTAAGCAGAGTTAGCCTGGTTAGTACTTTCCACCAGGAAATTCCAGGGCTGAAGGTTAGACTGGGAAGTTTAAAAAAAAAAAAATCTGGAAGAAGTTAATAACAAACAATTTCTATATTACTGCCAAGTACCTTACATGGACATGACCTTGTAGTCAGCAGGAGCCAAGCTCATTTTCAGAGAGTTGCTGCCCTTTAAACCTTTTCAGCCTTTATTTAGCTCCAAACCTGCCACGACTCTGAAATCATCAACCGAGACATGTTTGGGTTGCCCAGCTTTGAGAATATCTAGTATGCTGTTTCTCAACCTGGGCAACGTTAAGGTGTGTGGACTTCAACTCCCAGAATTCCCCAGCCAGCATGCTGGCTGGGGAATTCTGGGAATTGAAGTCCACACACCTTAACGTTGCCCAGGTTGAGAAACACTGATCTAGTGGATCCAAGAAACAGAACCCTGTTAAGTGAAAGCACCACTAAAAAATTGGTGGCACCACACTTATGAAACTTATTTCCTGCTGACGCTTATATAGGGTTCTTGATGAGCAAGAATGTAGTTCCCTATTGATTTATCTCTGGCTGGTTTTAATCTGGAAATTTGACTTTTGTTAGTTATAAAGTCGTTAATTGGACTGTTGTAATTGTTCAATATTGATATTCTCTGAATAGGGTAACCTGCTTTTAAAAAATGTTATCTTTAGAGCAGGCTTATACCTGTCCTTAAATAGTCAGATCAACTGACTATATAGTAGACAAAATGCATGAGTATTGTTGCATGCTCTGTAAGAGAAATGCAAACAGCAGGAGCATCAGGTGACCTCTAGCATTTCTCTGTTGCATGGCACCAATAAGCTCTGAAGCAGCTTCCAAATAAGGAACTAAAAATCTGAATTGTTCCTCTATGAACTAGAAGCTGCAAAAATTCAGGAGTTGTGCATAGGGCAACATTAAGCAACAGTAAACCTCTCATCTGATCTTAAAAACCTAATTCCCAGTAGCCAGCTAGTCCCTCCGAATAAAGCAGCAATATTATTCTGGGGCTGGAACACATCTTCTACGAGAAAAGGTTAAGGGCCCCCAAATGCTGTGGTGGAGTAAACCAGGGGTCTCTATTCCACCATTCTGTTTCCTCACTTGCAACAGAGATCTATGGAAATTGCATCAGCAGAACATGAGGGCAGTAGCTTTTCCCATTAATTTTCCTGTAACTGATATCAAGAGGCATATTGTCTCTAATATTGGAGGCAGCACATAACCATCATGATTAGTAGACTTGGAGAAGCTGATCCTCTGTTAGCTTGTCTAATTCCTTTTGAAAACTAAGTTTTCCAGCCCCTCAGCTGAGAAGCATGCTGCTTCTGGTAGTCAGATAACATTGAACCATCATGATCGGTAATGAGCAGATGGCCCTCAAGTCTAGTATTAAGAGAAAGGGAGAACCCTTCTATCTTCTTTTTCCCATATCATGCATTATTTTATGCATCTCTATTATGTCCACATACCATTTTTTTAAAGTAAAGAACCCCAGCATGGTGACTTTTTTCCTAATGTGACTTATCCTTGATAAATTCAGCTGCTGTTTGCATCATTTCCAATTCAGCAGATGAATCACACTGATCAGAATTGTACTCTGTATTCCAACTGTACTTGTAACATGGAATTGCATAGAAGTCTTACATAATTAATTTTCATTTCTTTTATTAATGTTCCCCAATTTGGAATTTGTTTTTTTCATCACAGACAGCCATTGGGTCAACATTGTTTTGAAGCTAGCAACCGTGACCTGAAGATCTTTTTCTCTGTCTCTACAAGTATATACAGTAAGTGAAATTAGGATTTATTTTATTTTAATTTTTTTTGCTTACATTGATTTGCATATTAATGTCAATTCTCCAGTTTAGACAGATTTTCTGGGAACCCTTCACAGCTCCTTTTTATTTTAACATTAACATTGGTGTCTTTAGCACATGTTTCAACCTCATTAATCCTTGGCAAAACCCCAAGTTCACATCCTTTCACAGCACAAAGTATTTGCTATTCTCTGCTTTCTCTTCTTTCACTAACCGACTATAAAAGTTCTTCTCTTGTCCCATCTTTCCTCAGGTTGCAAAGGTGCCTTTGGTGAGGGACTTTGTCAAAAGGTTTTGAAAGTTCAAATAAAGAGCCTCTGTCAGATAATTTGTTGACACACAAAGAATTCTAAAAGGTTGGTGGACAGGACTTATCTCTCCAGAAGTCATGTTGAACCTTCTCCCTCAGGACTTGTACTTTATTTTTAATGAAGAAACAGACTCCAGCTTGGACTCCATGGTTATTATGTCCAATATTGGGGTTATTTAGTTTTGAAAAATGGAAAGCAAATGGGAACATGATACTTGTATAAAATTACATAAATTGTGGAGAAAATGGATACAGAGATAATGGGCTTTCCCCCTTCATAATTCAAAAATTTAGGCTCATCCAAAGGAGCTAAATATTGATTCAGAATGAACAAAAGGAGATACTTCTTGACATAGTAGACAAACTATGGAATTCACTATCATAGGAATTTAGTAAGATGGTGGATAGGTTTTTGATGATGGCTACTTAATGATGTCTATATACTCTGAATCAGCTTGTGACACTACATACTAACCACAGTAGGTGGACGCATCTAATGGACCTTGCTTGATCCCAAAGCTAAGCACGGTTAGACATAGTTAGTATTTGGATGGGAAGCTACAGGGAAATTCCACAGCTGTAAGCTAGATGGGGAAGTTGACAAAGTATCTCTGAAGAAGGCAATAGCAAATCATTTCGATATTTTGACCAAGACCATGATATAAATTTATGCAGATAGTCATCAGTAGTAAACCCTTTTAAAAACAAAATACAAAAACAAAAATGCATTCCAGGGAATATGACTGAGAGTGTTCATATCCTACTTACAGGTTTCCTTGAGGCATCTTGTTGATCATAGTGGCAAACAGATGCTTTGCTGGGTCTTCAGCCTGATCCAGCAGGGTTTTACATAGATTCTTACACAAAAGCTGCTACACTGGAGTTGCTTATTCTGAGATTAACCACTTGGTACTTGTTTTATACTCTGTTTAGGCCTCCATAGAAGGCCAAGTGTGACAAGTTAGTTTTGCTACTCTGTAAAATTATCCTGTACTCAGAACTCCAACTCCATTGCATGTTTTGGCCTGGCTGCCTTTGGAAAATTGATTTTGGCCCCCTTGATAGCCTTGGGGAAGGTGAAATGCAGTAATATAAGAAACCACATGGAGGACTGAGGAAATGGTGTCCAAGCCAAAAATGAGCAAACAGCCCAGCACAAAGACAGCTTTTTTATGTCTAAGAAACTTGCTGGAGGTAAAATTGTTTCCTTCATCTTATCTATCTCGCTTCAGAAATCCAGGCAGTCAAGCCAGTTCTCTGGCACAAAAGGTTAGGAAAGATGAAGTGATTATTTCCAGCAAGTCTTTTTGATTAGGGAGGTACACAGATTCAGGGAGAAAAGAGTCCAGTGTTAGGGGCTATTTTCTACCTGGAGATTTACTGTCCTATTCTTATATTTCTTAAGAAGCTTTGCTAAGGCCAACAGATATACTCAGATACCTTTAAGTGGCCTGCCGGATTTTGAGGGATGACACATTTAAAGTCAAAACAAACAAATAAATATGGATATTTAATTGTATATTGTTTCCAGACATCAGTATCTGTGCATATGTGAGTGAATATGTGTCTAACAAAAAGGAATCTGGTAGTAAAATTTAGTTATATTTGTTTGAAACCAAAAACCCAAGAACGTTGGTGCTATTCATGTACACATATACAAATCACTCACTTCCAGCAAGACAAAACTGGGTGCTGCCTTAAAACAGTTATTTATTAAGCCAAGGTGGTTTAATTTTTAATTGGCTATTATTAGATTTGGCAAGTAGATTCAGTAGCCAATGGCATGAGGAACAAAGTGGCCCCTTGGCCACCTTATAAAACCTCACAGTGGATTTTTTTTCCCTTGGGAAAGGATCAATGCTACCTAGACCGCATCCTGGCTAGGGTATTCCTGCTATGGATCCCTTGGCATTCCCAAACCTTATTAACCTCTAATCCAGAGTAGCACTGCCATTCTACAGTATATATGTAGGATATATAATTCATATCAAGTCTGACTGGGTGGAACAAAGCCTATGCTTAAATCAATGTGTGCATGTGTCTAGTCTTGCGAAGAAGCTAGCAGCCTAGGTCTGGCAAGTTCTTTCACTGCCAGGCATGAAGACCAAGATGAAGTACACAGAAATAATCTGGACATAGAAATCATCTGGACTGGCTGTTCAGTTGTTGTTGTTTTTTAATATATTGGTGGTGGGACAGCACCCTTCACTGTCTTGGGAAGGAGGTCAATAAATGAATGCAACCCAAATGGTACACACAGTTCAATCATGCTGCCCCTTGGCACCTACTCACTACCCACTCAAACAGATGCTGCCTAGCATCAGGCACACGTACAATGGCTATTGGAGTGCAGGGCCAGGTCTACCTACCTTTCTACTTACTGGCCCAGTCAATGGCCTTTCCCAAGGGCGCTGTCTATTGTCAACTGGAAGATGGGGACAGGGATGACAACAGCCGAGACACAGCCAATCTCTGTCAGTGCAATGGAATAAGCTGCCTTATGTTGCCCAGCACTAGACTTGCTCCTCTTTAGGTTTGTTGACATCAGTGGGAAAAGATGTCAGGCCCAACAGAAGCCTCACTGATTTAAGGCAGGTGCCAGCTTCAAAATGTTATCTCATAAGAATTGTATTGCTCTATCACCATCAATTTCCACTTGGTAAAAGATCCACAAGGGTAGCTGAAATGAAGTAAAACACAATAAAACAAAACCCAGAATCCTTTTCTTTCCCACAAAACTAAGGAACCAGAACAATGATTTTTAAGAAACTAAAGAAATCAATATTTCACAGGCATTCCCTCTTCATTTACTTAAGAATGTTCTATTCATTGCTGTTTATTTTTTGCTATTTGTTTATTTATTGATTTGTTGCTACTAGTTGTTTATTTATTGGTTTGATTTATTTGCTTCATTCCTTTTCAGACAAGGAGACTCAATGTTGTTAATGACAAAGTGAAACACATTTTTTTAAAAGAAAAATTAAACACATCCACAACTGACATTCAAACCATGCAGAGGGGCAAAGCTACATCTTCTTCCTTTTCTAAAGACAGACAGAACAAGGGGGATGTCAATCACTACTCCCAAGAAAGATCTTTCATATTTTGGAATTTATGCAGGATAAGAACCTCTTCCATACAGACCTACATCAGTGGAGGCTTTTGAAAAACACTTAAAGTTCTGAGATTTTGAACAGAACTTCACCTAGCTCCACCTCCTCAACTGGTAGAAAAGAGTGGAACTAAGATAATACCCACTCAGCCCTGACAGGCAGTTTGGGAAACTTCATGGTCAAGAGTACAGAAAGCCACTGAGAAGTCTTGGAGAACTAGTAGGATCCCTCATCCAGTTTCCAGCTTTCCGCAAAATAGCCCCAGTCCCATATATCAGCCAGAAGCAGGACTGAAATGGGCCCACTTAATTGTTCAGGAGTGCCATGAAAAAAAACAAAATGGCTAAAGAGGTGGCCATCTTTTTCCAGAAGTCTCTCACCAGTGGTTTATTGTCCCAGCTTTGTGAAGTGTTCTTAGATTGCTGCTTACTGTCTGGATAAATGCCAGGGCTACAGGAGGTATCTGGATGAGAAAATCTCATTCCTCAGGATATGATTACTTTGGCAAGCAGGCTTAATCATGCATAACTGTCAGTGAAAGAAAGAAAGAAAGAAAGAAAGAAAGAAAGAAAGAAAGAAAGAAAGAAAGAAAGAAAGAAAGAAAGACAAAACAAAACCCAAATCAGTGAGTCAGCTATTATACAAAACCTCTTTCATACACACAGCTCTATTGACAAAGGTCACAAGGAACATCCAATCCAAGATTCCAAGGCTGCTTTCAGTAACGCTGAACACTATGGACAATATTAAGATAACCCACACTGGGAGATGTAAAAGGGGGAGGGAAGGCTGTAACAAATGGGCACGTTCAAGACACAAGGCACTGGAAAGCGTCCTTCCCCAAGGCAATGCCCTGGAGATAACAACTGCCCAAATTCTTGCCCACGGCCAATGATGGCCAACGATTGGGAGTTATGGGAGCTGATGACCCAGGAGGACACTCACCTCTGACAGAGGCAAACATGCCAGAAGTCCATAGATGCACCTCTTCTCATTTCTTATTTTGTTTGCCAGCAAGTATAAAACTGCTTTGAGATTCACTGAGAAGAAGGGTCCTTTACAGAAAATTCAAAGCAGCACTAACCTCTGCAGCAGGCCCATGGGGTTTTAATTGCATTTTGTTCCAGAGGCAATCCTGAAGCTGTTTCTTGCCACTCTGAATACTTACCTGTATGGTTCTTCTCCCTGCACCCGAAACCCCCAAGTCCTCTAGTAGCTCCAGAGGCAGATTCTGGAAAATGCCACAGGGACTCTATTTACATTCTCCTCACAGTAGGGGAGTGGCAAATGAAGGGATGGGTTGAAAAAGTCAAGATGGCAGCCGCACTTGTGTAATTGGAGCCCCACCCCTTTTTACATGCATCACTTATCAAACATGATGTAGGAGAATTTTTAAAAATTAAATACGCTTTTTAAAATTAAATTTTGAAAGAGAAGCATCAGGCTCTAAATTTGAATGCTTAAATACTGCTTAAATTACAGGTAGTCCTTGGGTTATGATGGCAATTGGGACTGGAACTTCCATCGCTAAGCAATGCAGTCATAAAGATGTCACATGACCACATCACTTAGCAACGGGCCTGCATCACTTAGCAACTTAGTAACCTCAGGACTGCATGGGTCATGTGAAGAGGCAGGAGTCCCAGGCGAGAAGCGCAGGGTGTGTGTGTGCAGGTGCTGTGGGTGGGTGGGGGACTGCCACGGGTGGGCATGTGCTATGGAGTACAGGTGGGTGGGGGGGTGCTACGGAGTACGAGATCCCTGGGATCTCGTACTCTGTAGTGGGTCTCCTCAGGAAAAAAAATGGCAAGAGCAACTTGCGCCCTTCCCTGCTGGCTTCCCCATTGATTTTACTTATGGGAAGCCAGCAGGGAAGATCGCAAATGGCAATCACATGACTGCTGGACATTGCAACCGTCATAATTGTGAGCCAGTTGCCAAGTCCTGAATCGTGATGACATGACCACGGGAGTGCTGCATTGGCCAGAACTTCGAGGACCAGTTGTAAGTACACTTGTTCAGTGCCATTGGAACTTTGAACGGTCACTAAATGAGTGGCTGTAACTTGAGGACTACCTATATAAGCTTAGGCCATAGGAGTCAAAGTAAAGTATAATAGGGTTTGCATTAGTTATTCTCTTTATTTATATATCTCTGGGGAGGTTGGCTTTAGTGCAGTCATTGAAATCCTGATTCAACCCTAGTTAGCTTGCTCCCATTCTTGTACAGTTATAGCAAGAAAAATTGTAAAACAGTTGTCAACTGTGTATTGCAATTCTTTATTTCCTTAAAATTGATCAGTGTCATAACTGAACACTTGTGAACATATATATGACTTTCTTGAAAAAAGTGACCTTTCTGTTTCTATCTTCTCCTCTTTGATGGAGTGAATGGTGAGGCCGAGGAGATGAAAGGCTGAGGGCTCCTGATTTGGATTACCTGCGTAATAATGTTAATAAGGTGTTTTTTTTTCTTTCACCCTTCCCATCACTGCAGGAACTCTGGAGAGGGCTACTGCACTGGTAATAACTATTTCATTTCATCAGACATCCTTAAACAGTATGAAGAGGTTGAGATCAATTTTCACAGTTCCGTACAGCAAATGGTGATGGCAAAAGACAGAGATTAGAGTGGTGGAATTGCATTGATTGTTCTGCATTGTGTGATAATCATACAGCCATTAGCCTGAATTTGAATTTGAAAAGTATGTCAATTGTAATGTATTTACATTACAATAATAAGAATGTAATTGTAATGTATTTAATTGTAATGGGAATATTTTTTATATGTGTGTGTGTGTGTGTGTGTGTGTATATATATATATATATATATATATATATAAACTTGATAGAAAATAAACCAACAGCACAGGAAAAGGGGAATGGAAGTTTAAGCTGATCACTGTATATATTCTGAGGAATATATGGTTGAATTGTATGAATACTAGAGAAAGCAACCGTGAACCCAGCTGGGGCCCGAGGGGAGGGGTGCCCCTCTCGGAAATGTGCCCAGCTGGGTTCACGGTGTGGCACCAGCCAAGATGCCAGGGCAGGGGAGGAGGGGTGGCTGTTGTGATCTGGGAATCTCTAGTGGCCTTCAGGGGGATTGCTCCCCAAGTCTCTGGCTGTGAGACGCTGTTCTTTAGGTTGGACTCCCATGAACAGTTGGGAGTGCTGTTACTGTACCAGCCTCCCTGCTGTGTGGCAGCCTCCCTGCCTGAGCTGCTAGAGGCCATCTCGGGGCTGGTGGTGGAGTTCCCCAGGCTTATGGTTCTGGGGGACTTCAACCTGCCATCCCTGGGGCGGTCCTTGGACGTGGCTCGGGCGTTCATGGCTACCATGGCAGCCATTGTCCTTTCTCAAAATTTGTGGGAACCAACCTGAGACAGTGGCCACATGCCAGATTTGGTTTTCTTGTCAGAGCAATGGCAAAGTGATCTGAGGGGAGATCTACAGCTTTCCCTGTTGTCATGGTCAGATCATGTCCTGGTGACCCTGAGTTTCTCCTATACCACTCCCCTCCACAGGGAGGCAGGACCCATGTGATTGGTCCACCCCCAGCACCTGATGGACCCGTCAGGGTTTCAGAGGGAGCTGGGAGATATTCCCATGGATCTGCTGCACGGTCCAGCAGAGGCCTTGGCTGCTGCCTGGAATAGGGAGGCGGCCAGGGCCTTGGACAGGATTGCGCCTATGCGACCTCTCTTGCCACATCGGCCCCGACACTCCCCGTGGTTTACGGAGTAGTTGAGGGTGCTGAAGAGGGTCAAGAGATGTCTAGAGCGCTGCTGGAGGAAGACAAAGACCGAATCCGACTGAACACAGGTTAGAGCCACTATCAAAGCCTACATTGTGGCAATAAGAGCAGTGAAGCGCCAATACTTCTCCGCCCTTATTGCATCCGCAGAATGCTGCCCGGCGGCCCTGTTCAGGATCACTAGGTCCCTCCTTGGCAAGGAGGATGTGGGGGTTCATTTACAGGGCTGTGCGGAGGAATTTTCGGAGCATATGCAGGACAAAGTCACTCGGATTTGTTCCAAGTTAGACTCTGAGTGTGGGGCAGGGTCTGGGGAGATACTGGGGGACTGTTCTTACCCAGTTATTTGGGACCAGTTTGATTCTGTTGCTCCTGAGGAAGTGGAAGGATCCTAGGGACTGTGAAGGCCACCGCTTGCCATCTTGACCCATGCCCCTCCTGGC